TTTATGGTTTTCACCATAAAGATGAGCTAGTCGCCAATTTTCATTATGATTTTCGTAATCAGATTTAATTAGAAATTTTAATGAACTTACATTTTTCGAAAATTTTAATTGGGGTAAAATATTTCTCGAAGTAGAAGAGAGGATAGCTCGTTCGGTTTCCGGAAAAGAGAAAACATGTACGTATGTGTGTATGTGCATTTGTGAAAATTGTAAGCGCAAAAGACACAAAATGAAAAAAAATAAATAAAAAATTGAATGTAGAACGTGCGACATTATCAGGATGAATAACAGGCACTGCCTCATGAAAACGAGAGGCAATAAACTAGTTACACCAAACCTATAGCGGCTGTTAAATTGCAATCAGCGACAGAGGTTCGTACAGTATAGTCGAATCCCCACAATCCAGTTTGCCTAATATCTGGTTTATAAATGCTTCATATCGACAACAGCCTGAGTGACATCCAAACACTTTATCGACGATTCGTACTTTAATCAAAAACTCGGTTTGACTCGTGATTGAAAACTGGTCATTTATTATTTGGAAAATATACAAGAAAGAATAAAAGTTATTTATGGGTGATTCTACAAAAGAGGGAATTTTGATGTCTGAAGCATGTTTTGTATATTAATTTTGGAAAGAATAATTTTACTTTTAATGGAAATTGTAAATCTTAATGGTTTCTATTATGGCACAGAAAAAAAACCGATAAAAAAAATATGTTTTTGCAAAAAATACACATTATAGTGCTAAATTCTCATTCGTCTGGCATGTCCCTTTGGGAGAATGACAGTTCATATTGAGAATATATATCACTTTTCAAATGTTTTGCGGAAAATTCATACTGAATTAGTAATTTTGAATAGTTGTAGATTACTAATATGGAAATAATTATGATGTTTCTCTATATCTTATTTATAAAATATCTTCGCGAAGTTTGTCCCCTGAATTTGTTATCATTCGTCTGGCAGTGCAAAAAATGTAAAAATTATTAAAAATCAACATTCTAATGAAGTGACTGTTCGTTGTAGTTGTTAATTAAACTAAACTAAATGTGATACCAATCGGGTTTTATTGAATCTTCTAATCTATTAACCAAGATTTCTCAATTTGTAACGGAGATTGTGTTGTGACCAGACAAATTCTCATTCGTCTGGCATACATTTTTTAAAAAAATATTTTATTTTTCGGTTATTCTATAGACTTATGTTTTATAGATTATTATTCTCTATAAGATAGTACTGAAGGATTTTTTCATTTAATGTTATTTTTCTATTTTTTAAACAAAAAATGCCAAATTCTCATTCGTCTGGTTCTCATTCGTCTGGCACTTTTGAGATAGGATGTATACTATATCACTAAAAATAGCGTAAAACTAACAATTTTCAACTATTGTTCGATTTTCTGGTCTTAAAATAATCCTAATTAAATTTACAAGAAATTGCTGTAACTGAATTTTCAATTTTCATTTCGCATAATTATATTGACATAAACAAACAAATGGAATAAGTATTTTTTTATATGAATAAAGTTTAGCCCACAAAAATCAAAGTAGTTCTTTATTATTAGACACTTGAACTTACTTTTACAATTCTATGATTTGTGAAATTGTGCTTATAGAAACAAATACACCATCCGTAATTTCTTAAAAACAATTATTAATTAAATTACAACAAAAATTAATTGAACCGATGACTTTTATTGATCCTCGTAAAAATCGTTACTTGGGGGTTTTCGGGGTTGCTGATTAAGAACCTAATGTCAGTTTTTAAAATTTTTCAAATTCAAAATGGCGGATCCAATATGGCCGACGATTTTGGAGAAACTTAACATATTCGTCTGAAAATCGTTACTCGGTGATTTTCTGTTTCGCTTATTACCAATCCGAGGTCAACTTTTTTCAAATTAACCATTGCTTTTACAATTTGTTTAAACAATTTAATTATGGTTTTTAGTTCTGCTACTATATTTATAGTTCATAGATGTATAAAAATTAATAAATAAATTTTAAATAGTTTTTAATAATCATAATTAATTAATTAATTACAATTTATTATTATTATTATTAATTATTAATTAGTTAAATAAATTAAATAAAAATAAATTAATAAATTATTAAAAAGTAAATTCAAAATTAAACTCAACGTTAAAAACTAGAGGTGTATTCATAGTATTTAGTATTCGATTTTTTCGGGTACTCGATTTCTTTTCAGTCCTCGGAAATTTCCGTATGCATCAAGTATTCCGTATTTTAAATAATCTTGAACTATCTTATTCAAAAGTTGCGAAAATGGTGGTAAATTGTAAATTGTTAGTTCTAACTTTTCCTCTAGGTTAATAACTTATTTAACGTTTAAACATATTTTACAAAATCAAATTTAATAAAAATCGAACAATTTTTTTAAAATTAATTTAATTAGATTCTTAATCAGCGACCTCAAAACCCCCCGGGTAACGATTTTTAGACGAATACGATAAGTTTTTTCAAAATTCGTGCGCCATATTGTATCCGCCATTTTGAATTTTGAAAAACTGACATTGGATTCTTAATCAGCAACCCCGTAAACCCCCGAGTAACCAATTTTATAAAAATCCATTCATTAATTTTTATGTTAATGTGAATTTTCTTGACACGATTTTAATTCTCTGGATAAATTGTTTATAAATAACCATAACTTTTGTAATTTTTAATATTTTGTCTGGCCACTTATGGATGTCTTTATTAGTACCATTAACTTGAAGTTAAAATACTTTTATTGAAAGCGAAATGAATAGACGATATGACGCCTCACGCCTGCTCAGTGTTCACTCGGTTAAAATCACATAAGTCAACGTAATTAACAGTAACCGACTTTCAAATAGGTAACAACAACTACGAAAGTTTGTTTTAATTATGTTCATTAAAGATTGGTTAAGACAATCCATCGGAGGATTATTTTTAACAGATGTGTTTTAACCGTCTCAGCTCGGTTGTGATAATCAGTATAACTTAGTTTCTTTTAACCATATCTTATTTATTTTTAAATACTTTTTTTTAACCGAGCTATTTCTACCACACGGTTAAACGCAGTTTCTTTTAACCATATCTTATTTATTTTTAAATACTTTTTTTAACCGAGCTATTTCTACCACTCGGTTAAACGCAATTTTTCTCAGTGTGTTCAAAATTGGACAACAGGGGAAATTTTTGCTTGGAAAGTTGCTAACGCAAATAAAAAACTGAGTCAATTTTACTTAAAAATTGCGATAATTACGTAATTTTATTAATTAAACATAATTGAAACTAACGATTACATTAGTAGAAGATTTTAATTTTCTTTGGTGGAATTGAAAAAACTAAGAAAATAGAATATGAACACAAAGGTATTTTATCTAGAGCTGTGCAAAATAATTCGAACCGAACTGTTCGAATTTTTTCGTCTAGTTCGAATGTCGAAAATTCAAAATTCGAACTAGCCCAGTTTGGATGTCGAATATTCGACATTTGACATTTCGGGGCCCCAGAACCGAACTAAACTCGGTTCCGTTCGAATTTTGCACAGCTCTAATTTTATCCCTTTGAATTATATCCGTTTTTTTATAAAACTCACCTCTTTATTCATTTTTCAATGGTTTTTATTTGCAATTTTCCAATTTTCCGGGAAAATACTTGGAATCAATCGTCTCTCTTGAATTCAATCGTATACGATCTACTTTCAATCAGAGTATACTTCATTCTTATATATATATATATATGTTAGGCTCAAAGTCCGAAAACGCTCATTGAGCGAAAATATAGTCCACAACGCGTTGTGGCTCCTTCAAAATGTCCATAACGCGAAATTCGTGTTGTGGCATGTCAAAAAGTGCTCAAAACGCGTTGTGGTAATTTGAAAAGGGCCACAACGCGAAATTCGTTTTGTGGCTGCTACAATATTCGGCCACAACGCATTGTGGTAATTAAGAAATGCCACAATGAGTTCTGGATTCTTTTATATTTGCCATTACGCGTTTTGGTAATTTAGAAATGATAAGAAATAAATAACTAGTATTTTTTTAGCGAATAACATATAATTTTATTTACAAACAATTTAAACTATAAATACCCGAAATTAACTTTTAACATAAACATTTGTATTTTATTATTTTGTATTTTGATCTATATTTTTTCATTGTTTTATTTTTACTTACTTAATTTATATAAAAATAATAAATATCGTACCGTGCTATTCTTCATCAATTCACTTAATTTCTCAAAAAATATTGCCTCTTTATTATCCATTATGAGTTATTAATATTATTGTTAAAATCCTGCACAGCTTTTTAAATTATAAATGTCACAGTATAAATATTACACAAAGACTACAAAGATTTTAAATTAAATCTACTTTATCAATCACCGATGTGGAAATTTTACTACTGTAACTATTTATTGAATAAAGAAAATTTCAAAGGTATTATAATCGTAGAGTCTAATGACATACTTATAATAGAAAATTAATTAATTAAGTATCAAATAATAAGACAGGTAATTAGTATACACGTTTTGTTTGCAAGCAACAAAATGTGTTATGATTTTTCTGAATTACCAAAACGTGTAATGGCAAATATAAAAGAATCCAGAACGCATTGTGGCATTTTTTAATTACCACAATGCGTTATGGCCGAATATTGTAGCAGCCACAAAGCGAATTTCGCGTTGTGGACCTTTTCAAATTACCACAACGCGTTTTGAGCACTTTTTGCCATGCCACAACACGAATTTCGCGTTGTGGACAATTTGAAGGAGCCACAACGCGTTGTGGACTATATTTTCGCTCAATGAGCGTTTTCGGTCTTTGAGCCTAACATATATATATATATATATATATATATATAAAAATAGCGTTTGTGAAAAAAAATCTCAAACCAAACGCCATGGGGTTAATTAAGAAAACAATGGTTGGCTATATTTGATTTGAAAAATCCAATATCTTCGCTAATTAAAGAATGGGAAGAAAAAAAAGGAAAAATAGGTACTGACCTGTACGTCACTGCTCGCGTAATCTCCACTTTCCCTGGAAGCTCTTGTTAGAGGAATGATTGCCGGTGGATTGTTGAGACCCTGTGAAATGATAAGACCCCTCATAGTCGACGAAGCTAATGCTTTACGTGAACGATCACCGGATTTTCGAGAGCGATCTCTCGGTAGACTAATGTCACCGGCTGTTGGTAGTGAAATAACTCTTTCACCTCGATTTTCCGGTCTTAAATTCAATGTGAACCAAACTCTAAAATTATACACAAACATGAACATGTAAATTAAACTTTGAAATGTAAACGGAAATAATTATAAATTCATTAATTATTAATTAAATTGTACGTGTTTAAATTTTTTAATTTATTGTCATGCAATAGGGTCATTTGGGGTAAATGTAAACAAGGGGTAAATGTAAACAGAACTTCAACTACATTTTAAAAGAAAATAATTGAATAAATTTGCTTCTATTTCACAATTTCATTAATTTGGCAATGTAAAATTACATAGAAAAAGAAATTAGGTCTTCTTTGAAAAAAAAAATTTGATAAAAAAAAAAATTTTTTTTTGGAAATTTGATCAATTTTTAAAAATATTCTTAGGTTCATCCGCCATTTTCAAAATTAAAAATTTGACTTCAAATTCGTATACAGCGACCTCAAAAACCCCCGAGTAGCCAGATTCAAGCAAATTTAATCAATTTTTAAAAATATTATTTTTAGGTTCATCCGCCATATTGGATCCACCATTTTGAAATTTAAAAATTCGATTTTAGATTCTTATTCAGCAACCTTGAAAACTTCTTTTTACCAAGTTGAATGAAAATTTATTAAAATTTCTTCAAGTTATTCAAGTTTTTACATTACTAATTTTGTAATGGTTGATTGTTTATTTATATGATACATTATCAGTCAACTGGTTGATTTACTATACATCTACGAAGAATTTTTTTTCAGTTTTTCCATCCCTTAAAACAGTAGTATACTTGAAATAACTTGTTTCTTATAAACCTCGCTTAAAAATCGCTTAAAATTCGGGGTAAATGTAAACACCACTGTATAGTGGTGTTTACATTTACCCCGAATTTTAGGAAAATTTCAAAATCTCGGGGTAAATGTAAACAGTCAGTTTTAGGCGATTAAGGTGCATCAATATTTTTTTGTACCTCATAAAATTTTTCTAGGGAACACTAGCAACAAGTTCATGCAAAAGAAATTCGTCCGTTTTACCTTTTAACAAAAAAAACTAAGGTTTTTGGTGAAAGATACATATTCCGTTTACATTTACCCCAATTGACCCTATTATTTTTATTCACAATTTTTATAATTTAATTTATTTAAATTAAATTATACCTAAAAATAATTGAAATTATGATTAAGTAATCTATGAAAATTAGATGATCTACATTTGACAATGTAAATCAATAAATGTATTTTAATAATCATTGTAAATTATTAAATAATTTTTATATTCTTTATATTTGAATTAGAGAAAATTTCTATAACATTTTTAGTAAAATTTTACTATTTTTCATTTATACTCTCTAAATCTCCAGCTATCACTAAAAAAATGTAGTTTTTTTACTGCCATAATTATGACTAATTATCATATATTGTATTGGTGGATATGGTACAGCCATACAGTATTGCTGTTTCAGCCATACGCAGTATAGACTAATCATATGTATATAAGAGACTGTAATATATATGTGAAGAACACTACACGGAAAGAATTTCAAGCCATCAGCTGCGCTACCTACAGCGCATCGCTTGTACTGCTATTTCGAGTCACCTGATATACAGAAAACGGGACAATATGTGTGTAGAAATAGGAGACAGCATTTGTCTCGAAAAAATGCACGTCTGATGTGCGGAACTAAAAACAAAATTCGTACGCATGCATGCGTATGAATTTTAGGTTATAAGATGCCTAGATATTATTTAGAATTGTCAAAAGTGGTTTTTCTGAGTAAAATTGCAACACTTTAGTTATTTGATATTTAATTAAATTAATTAGTTAATTTAATTAATTGAAAATTAATTAAAATAAATTTATAATTTATTGAATTTAAAAAAAATAAATTTATAATTTATTGAATTTAAAAAAAAAAATTTATAATTTATTGAATTTAAAAAAAAAAAATTTATAATTTATTGAATTAAAAAAAAAATTTATAATTTATTTAATTTAAAAAAAATAAATTTATAATTTAATTAGTTTTAACAAAATAAACTTATTTTACGATTGTAAAACGGTATAAAATATAAAGAATTATACTTCTACATAAAACATTAATTTTATTGTATAAAGAAATTCTTTTCTTTTAATAAATTATAGTAAATTTTATTTTCAAAACATTGTTAATATTTGTATAAACAATTTTATATACTCATATCATTCATTGCATAAATTTTAAAAATTATACAAAACAGTTTATACATTCTTTATTGATTTTGTTAATTTGAAAAAAAATTTATAAGATAAACTTTTTATTTCTTAATTGAAAAATGTATTTTTTAACAATATAACAACTTTTCCAAATTTGAAGTAGGTTAAATAGATTTTTGTAAACAAAGGATTAAAAATAATATAGAATAACAATTTTATTTAATTTTATAAATGAATTACAGACCAGAGTTAGCTACAAACCGTAGCGCGTAACAATAAAATGAGTATCGAATTTTTTTACTGACAAAGCTGGCATTATATTAGGAAGATCTTTCTTTTTTATTAATTTATATTCATTTTTATTACTTACGATGTACGCATGATAGTGAAAGTCAAAAGTGACTTCTTCAAAGACTTGCATGTAAAAGTAAATTTCGTTTTCGAATTCGACTATGTCTATTATATTTCCAAATTCAATTTCGCTCTCTTTCATAGTTATTACTACGAATGTTCCAATGTCGTAAACTGTGCCATCAATATTAACGTTTTTATAATACCTACAAGAATTGTTACATTTTTCATCCCTAAAATAATTTTTATTGACTTTTGAATCATTATCTGCACCGAATTTGATAGCTTTTTCGAACTGAAGACTATGCATCATTTGACACATTTTCAAACCTTGTTTAATTGCAATAGTTGTTAATAAATTGATCTTACAGCTTGTAGATAGTGAAATATTTTTTATTGGACGGTGGTTTGATTCGAAACGCATTGCCCAGAAATTTATAATAGGTCCATTTTTTAGGAGAATACTTGCGTAGTGAATTAAAAAATGGAATTTCGGTTTGAGATTTCCATAATATTTTTGGTATAAAGTGTTCATGTTTTTTACCAGTGTCTTCAAAATTTTAGCATCTGCTTTAACAATTCGTGGAGAAAGTAAAATGTCGAGAATTTGGCGCAGGTTTTTGTAAATCGCGCATTCTCGTATTCAGAGTTTGCAAGGTAAAATATTGTTTTTCAAATACGAATGTGTTAACAATATTTCTCATTACATATGTGCAGACTCCCTCCAACAAATCATGCATAAAATCAACGATGATATTTTCGGTTACGTGAAAGCCGTTAACTTTATGAAATATACATTCTTCTTTGATTCCGTTTATCTCTCCGGCTTTTAAATCTTCCTCGTAATTAGTTCTATTTCTTAATTTGGACTCGTCTTCCACACACATTTCCCTACATTCTTTCAATGTCGCTCTGCACATTCTACAAAAGTAATCCTTGTTAAATGAATCGATGAAGCCTAGTATTTGGTTCAAACCCAGGTTGTCCCCTAAAACCAAGACTAACTGAAATTTTACGCGAATTAAGGTATCTTTTATTTTTATTAAAATGCCTTCAATGTTCAAAAAATTTAACTCTTCAATCAGGTGATTAAAAGATTTTTTATTTCCGAATTTTACTCTATCGGACGAGTACATGAGGCTAGAAAAAATAATAGAATCCAATCGAGATGATATATGAGGTGGCAGGCAAGCTATTGATGCGTAAATAGCAGCAAATTTGTTTATACCAGCATGACTGCCAAGAGGATTGCCAACTTCTAAATCATCAAAGAAAATATATAATGGGAGAAAAATGTCGTTACTTAGATCATTAGAATACTTATTTATCCATAAATCTCCCTGCATTATGCTTGTTATGATATTTGATTCTTGCATTAATTGTTTCATATACTCTATTATTTGATGAAACAAACCCGGAATTTCCAAGAAACATTTTAAGCTCTCTCGTAATGGAATGTATACACCATGAACAGTCTCTGGAAGTAGCACTACATCATTGTCGACTATTTTTTCCTCCAAAGTAATGCCTATTGGAAATTTCTTGAAATCTATAAAGCCCCTTTGCCTCAATAGATGAAACCGTTTGGATTCCGTGTCAACTGTTTCAAAAATTTTACCATGTTGATCAAAACACTGATTGATTTCGTACAAAACAGAGTTTGAGATATTTTCTCTCTTTAATATTGATAAAATATCACTTTTTAAGGACGGAACAAAGATACTGATAAGAAAATCATGAATAAACTTCATTACATCGTCAACAATTTTTCGGGGTAAATTCGGATCGCCATACAGACATAGAATAAATGTTAAAATGTGATTAATTACGTTAATAAAATCCATTTTATTATTATGCGACAGTTAACACTAAATTCTTTGTAAAAATTAAAGCAAAGTAACACGTGTAAATTACTTTAATTACTAAAAGTATATAGTAATTTCTTTTAAAAACAAAATATCACATTTTACTACAACATTGAAACATAAAAAAACAATTTTTTAAATACTTTGAATAAAACAAGACATTCAATTACTTTGAAATTTCAACCAACAATTTTGTAGAATAGGCACTGCCTTTTCTTGAATTTACTGCATAAACAGATTTGTCAATAAATGACCACACAAAGTCGCAAAGGAAAGGAAATGACTTTAAAGCTGTCATACATTTGTAACAGCTTTCGACAGCTGTCAAATGATTTTGATAATTATACTGTTCTTTGTTAATATTAACAAAAATTTTGGGGCTTCGCAAATCACCTACAAAAACAATATAAGGATGAATTTCTTGATTTAAGGTTTTCAACCACTTCTCAAAAATTTCTATTTCATCCTTCACTTGTTCGGAATTCTGTAAAAAAATGGTTGAAAGGAGGATTTTTATGCAATAAAAACATAATTTTATATTTTTTATAATGTTGCATTCAAGGTATAGAATAAACTACAAAATAACGATAAAATTAAGTTATTCGATTAACTATGCAAGGAAAAAAATTTGTTTTCTCTATTTAAAGTT